ACCGGTCTGTATGTGGGATCCGAACCCTCGGCGGGAGCGCCGCCGCGCTTCCCAAGCGGCGCACTATCCAGTGCGCCACCGGGCTGGCCCCTTCTTGTTTTTCCTTAAATCTGCTTAGATTTTCCCAAATAATCAACTTTGGAAATACTTTCACCTCCATTTTATTTCTTAAACCTGTTTTGGAAGTTCTTATTGTGCTACTGCCGTTTATCTTATTTCTTAGAACCTGATGCATGTGAAGCTGTGATCATTAGTTTAATTCCAGTAAGAACCAATTTAAGTTGTTCTTTTCCTTATTACCTAATACAATTCTTGGGGCTAGGTATGCTTTCACAATTCAAAACTTTTATAGATTTAGAAAGTAAATTCAGTGCATATTGAGTACATTATACAATACTGCTTTGGGGAGTACCCCATGACCAAACACATTAGTATTTCTGTAGCAAAACAAAAAAATATTCAGACTGTAAAGACTTTAAATAGCTTCACATTAATTCACTTATCAATCATCACTTGTTGCTTATAATTTTCAGAACTTCTGGATTTCAGAAATACAGGTAAGGGATTAATGCTGTGAAATCACATCTCCAGCCACTACATGGTAAAAAGAAATAAACAATCCATGTTTCCAAAGTGAACTGGGTGAGAGAATGTATATGGATCAGCACTCCAAATGCTCACTTTACTACAGTAGTGGGTCATTAGACATACTTTCATATATGAAAGATAGCACACACTGAAATTGATTGAACAAAGTGTTTTAATTAAGAGCCAAAGAGCAGATGTCTATAGAAGCTTTATTCATAATTGCCAAAACTTGGAAGCCACCGAGATGTCCTTAAGTAGGTGAATGGATAAAATGTGGTATATCCAGACAATGAAATAATACTCAACATATAAAGGAAATGAGCTATCAAGCCATGAAAAGACCTAGAGGAAGCTTAAATGCATATTAAGTGAAAGCAGCCAATGTGAAAAGGCTCCATACTGTATAAGTCCAACCATATGGCACTCTGGAAAAGGCAAAACTGTGGAGACAATAAAAAGATCAGCAGTTGGCAGGGGTTAGAGTAGAGGGAGGGATGAATAGGCAGAGCACAGAGAATTTTTAGGGCAGTGAAACTATTCTGTATGATTCTATAATGGTGGATACATGTCACTATAAATTTGTTCAAATCCATAGGATGTGCAACACCAAGAGTGAACCCTAATGTAAATTATGGGACTTCGGGTGGTAATGTTGTGTCAGTGTAGGTTCATCAGTTGTAACAAATGTACCACAGTGGGGGATATTGATAGTGGGGAGGCTGTGAATGTGTGGGAGCAAAGGATATATAGGAACTCTCTGTAACTTCAGCTCAATTTTGCTTTGAACCTAAAACTGCTCTAAAAATTAAAGTCTATTGAAAAAAAAAGAGCTTAAGAGTCTGTGTAATGGACTCCAATTCGTTACTTATTTAATAGTATTATGTGTCAGATATTAATTGAAAATCCTATATAATGTCAACTCCAGTAGGTAGTTAATATTTAATAATACCCTTTTCCTTTTTTTAAAGGAAAATAAATTTGCACTCGTAATACCAGCTTTGAAAAACATCCTTTAATTTAGAAAATATATCATGTTGCTAATTATTTGTCTCTAAGCAGCCTTTCGTATATATGTCACAGCAATGTTATGCAAAATATTTTTGTCCATTGTGAGTGAACTGGCTTTGTTGAATTTGAAATTGATTAATTGTGGTTGGTCTAACTAGGTGTTCGGATATCTGGTTTTCCCAATGAAGAAGAAAAGAAACATCAACAACAACAAAGGAGCATTATTGGCTTCTTACAGGCTGGAAACCAAGCTTTGCCAGCCACTAGCTGTATACTAGAGAAAACTGACAAAGATCAGTTTGTAAAACCTCTAGATATGTCTCATAAGAAGAGTTTCTTTGATAAAAAACGATCAGAAAGGAAATGGAACCACCAAGACACATTTAAATGTGAGACTGTGGATAAACAAAGTTTACAAACATCACAATCATTCCAAGTTTTAAAGAAGATGAATGAGAATTTAGAAACATCAGAGAATTCAGATAACTGTCAGATATTTACCTGTCCTGTTTGCTTTAGGGAGCAAGGAAGCATCAGTCTGGAAGCTTTCAATAAACATGTGGATGCATGTCTTGATGGACCTTCAATCAGTGAATACTCTGAAATGTTCTCAGGTTCACATGCTTCCTCTACCAAAGTTAACAGGAAAGAAAATGTGCATCATTCTTTTTCACTTCATGAGAAGCAAGATTATGAAACCCATCAGAGAAATATGGAAATCACTTCAGAAGATTGTGTAGAATTGGTAGATACTATAGATAACTCATCTAAAGCAAAAAGTATAGATGCTTCAAGTTATAAGCACAGCAAGGAGGGATGTTCTAGTCTTCCAAGCAAGTTTTTAAATATTGAACACTGTCATCAGAATTCTTCTTGTACCATTTCATTGGAAAATGAAGATGTTGGGTTGTTAAGTAGGCAAGAATCCCTCCAACCTTGTTTATTTGAAGTGAAAACAGGCCAAGCTCTAGTTTGTCCTGTTTGTAACCTGGAACAAAAGACTTCAGATCTTACCCTGTTTAATGTGCATGTGGATGTTTGCTTAAATAAAGGTGTTATACAAGAATTGAGAAAGGATAAAGTTAATCCAGTTAATCAATCCAAAGAAAGCTCCAGAAATACTGGTAAATCTGTTGTCATTTTAAAGAACTTGATTTTCTAGGAATATGTTTTCTTAAAATTAATGAGATTGCTGTTAAATCTGAAGCACACACTATTAAAGGAGTAGTTTGTTTATGCTGTCATTTAGGAAAATGTTAGTTACCTTACCATAGATTACAGATAACTTGAGCCAATAGATAGTGAATACTAGAAAAAGTTTGGTTTGGGCATGATTTAGCACAGAATGAACTCAAAATTTTAAAGAGCTGAGTGATCTAATCAGAAAAGAAATTCCTTGAAAGAACATTTGCCAAGGTACAATGGTAAATGAGCTGTAATTACATAGCCAGAAAGCCTCTTTCACTTTTTTTGGTAGCACTGACTCTAGTAAAATTTCAAAAATAAAATTAAGTGTAATACTAATAAAACTAGTAAATTACAATAATAATAATAATGATGATGATGCTATAAAACTAGTTTCTGGTATGTATAAATGTGAACTATGTAGTACCAAGGAAGTTTTTGTTATCTTTAATCAGTCAGTTTTAACTTTTTAAATTTTTATACTTGTATAGATTTTCAATTATTTCATGTATTCATTGTGGAATTTCCTGACATTCTTTTCTTTAAAGGTTGCTCAAGCAGAGTACAGAAGACTGGAACAAGAACAAAAAGGTATGGCTAATTTGAGCTTTGGTAAAGCTTGGCTACAAAACTGTCATAATATTTTTGAGGTCTAATTTTTGGAAGATTTATAAATCATCAAGTAATATATAAAAAGTCAGTTATTTGCAAAATTACTTTTTAAAATCTCTTTCTACATTTTAATTGTGTGTTGTTTTTTGTTGTTGTTTCCATTCCAGGCCAGGACTGATACCAAAGTACTCAACATCAAAGAAAATAAAACCAAACAACCCCAGATACACCCTTGATATATTTTTTAAATGAACATTTAACATTTTACATTAATATTAATTGGAACTTGTTATTTTATAATCAATGAATTTGTTCTTCCTCATTTTAAGTTTACAGATTTATTTAGTGAAGGCATGTATAATAATCTCTCCCAAAATTACATTTCCTTTTCTTAGAATTTGGCATGTATACAAATTTACTTCTGAATACCTTATTTATAACCATGAGAATTTTACTTCTGTTATAGATCATTTGGAACTCAATCTTGTTAGAGATAATTTTTAAAAAAAGAAATTAGGAATGGGATCAGAAAGTGATTTCTTTATTGTTTTTATAGTGAATATAAAAATATTTATAAGGCCTCTCAGAGTTTCACACAAATCTATTTTAGCATAAGAATTTTTCAGCACTTAACCACTTTGTTGGCATTGGACTGCTACATTTGATCCTAGTAGCTTCGGATACCTCATAAGCACTCATAATTAAAATTTATTGTAAGTTCTATTAAGAGTATTAGCTTGGTAGGACTAGCGTGAGTGGTTTTGTTACCGTCAGGAAAATAATATCACAATATTATTTGTGTCAAAAGGGTTTTTGCTTAAAGTATGATTATGCATTTGGTTTTTCTTATTTAAAATTCCTTTATCTTATGAATTAGCACTTGATTCACTTTAAAAGATATTTAGTCTAAGATTTAAAGTTTTTTTAAATATAGGTCTTGTAAATGGTAGTATCTTTTTTCCCGGCAGTTATGCTTGTACTTTGCACAAATCTACAAAAAAGAATGCATTATACAGTCACATTATTTTTATTATAATCTTCAAAAGAAAAATGTGCAATTCAAAAGATTTGTGTGTATTAAAACATGTCACTTAGTTACATTTCTTATCACATTTTATTAATATTTGTGAAAGAAGAGAACTTAGTAGTTAGCTAAAGTAGTTGCTCCAAAACACTTTTGTGCTATCAATAAGTTCTTATTAAAAAATATTTAATTGGAACATGTAGGTAGAAGCCATTATCTGTATTGCTTATATTCATTGCCGCAAGGAAATGAATCTTTTATTCTCCTATATTTTTGTTTTCCCTTTCCAACTTCATATTTTAGCTCATTATCTAAATATATAAGGAAATAATATTTTACTGATAGCTTAATTATGGTCTTGCATAGCCTTTGGCCAAAGTGGTAACTTGATTTTTAATTACTAGATTGTTTTAAATTAGATTTAATGTTTGTTAGCATGCTAATCTCATGCCTGATATTATTGTACACTACGGCAAATACAAATACACTATAGCATGTGGTTCTTGATTTACTTATGTAAATTCTGTACAAAATTAAGTTCAATGAAGGACTGATATAATGTATTAAATAGTAAATCGTCATACTGGCCAGACAATGACAAAAAAAAGAAAAGTAAATAGCACCATATTTAGTTGTTTTCTGTCTTACCTTGTTTATTTTCATTGTTTTCAACATTAGAGTAATTTTTTTTGGCAGCTAGACAGTATGGGGATTCAAACCTTTGACCTTGGTGTTATATCACTGCACTCTAAATATTACAGTAAATACTAAATTATTTTCATGTGGGTGATTCATTTAATCGAATGTTGTCATTTAGTAATATTTAATAATAATTTAAAATAAAATTTTTTGATTGATCTATTAGCCAATAGAGATGGTTTCGTTACTTTTCTACTCTTTCCCTTTTCCAATGCTTTCCTCTTATTTTCTCTACCATATTCTTTACTATGTGTTTTATGTAAATACATTCAACCCATTTTTTTTATTATAATTTTGATTTGGGGCATTTCTAGAAAATACAGCAAAATATAGGGAACAGTAATAAGCACCCATAATCTTACCTACTTAGAAGGTCAAAATATAAAGAACCACCTGGGAGAACATATTTGCAACACACATAACTGGTAAAAAGCTAGCATCTGAAATATATAAATGATTATTATGAATTGGTTAAGAAAAAGACAGTCAATAGAAATTTAGGCAAAAGACTTGTTTGTTAATTGAAAAAATTGATTGTACATATTTGTGGGGTAGAGTTAAATATCAGTACCTATGTATAATATATGATGATCACATCAATATAATTAGCATGTTCATCATTCCAAAATGTAATGTCCATTAACATTCCTTATGTCCATTAACCAATTTCTCACTAATCCCCTTCCTTTCCCCCTTTCCCACCTGTAGTAACCACAGTTCTGTTTACTCTTGAAAGTTCAAAACATTATTGTGATTGTCTGTCCTTCCTTTTTCCCTTCCTCCTTCTTTTCTTTTTCTTTCTTCTCTCTTTCTCCTTTTTTTTTCTCTCTCTCTCTCACTCCCTCTTATGAGTGAGGACATTTGGTATTTCTCTTTCTGTGCCTGGCTTGTTTCATGTAACATAATTTTCTCCAAGCTCATCCATTTTGCTGCAAATGGCAGAATTTCATTCTTTGGACAAAAGACTTTAAATGGCACTTCATGTGAAAGCAAATCCAAATGACTAAGAAACATGAAAACATTCTTAGCCATATTAGTAATTGGGAAATGAAAAATAAAATCACAAAGAGCTATCATTATATCCCTACCATTTTCACAAAATGAAATGATCCAATGGTATTAAGCTTTAGTTTCCTTTCTTTGAAAACAATCACTTTGGAAAACAAGTTGTCCTTCTTTAGTAAATTCGAAGATGTGCACACTCAAAAACCCCAGCAGTTGCACTCGTAAGTATACGTCTTTGCTGGCTATCTTATATTTGCACTCCAGATCCACTCTGTGCCCTTCTGTACCCTGCCCTATGTCCAGTAAGGCACTAGGGCAATGGGGGAGCCACAGCAAGAAATTGGAGGGAGGAAGGAAAATGAGATTGGGTACATATTCCCTCATTCACCTTTCTGTAGAATTGTCACAAGCTGGCTGGGTCCCTTGACCAAAGGTCATAAATTCTGGTAGGCAATCAACATCATACTGCATTCTCTACTCTTTCTCTACGTTCTGATAACCTTCCTTCCCTTGCCCCTTCAGGCCTAAGAGTGGCAACAGAGCTCTGCTCTTATTAGCCCTAGGGTGCACACCATCCTTCGTGTTTTCTCTACATTCTGCCTGCACATTTGTAAATGGTCCCTTCTTTAAATTCATCTCAAATTATAATTTTGTTTTCTGCTGGTACCCTAACTAATGCAATGCCTTGGGGCAACTACTGAACATGTACCCGAGGAGGCATGTACAAGAATGTTCATAGCAGCACTATAATAGTCAAAAGTTGGAAGTGAACCAAATATTCAGCAATGGTAGAATGTATAAACTCTACCATGGTATATTCATGCATATTCAAACAATGGAATTCTGCGCAGTGTGAAAATGTAAGAAATAGCTAATTACAACATGAACAAGTATCACAAACGTGATGATGTAGAGCAGAAGAAGCAAGTCACAGAAAGATACTATCAGCATGATTCCCTTTATGTAAAGTTTAAAAGTCAAAACTTTATTGTTTTAAGGATGTATCCATATGAGATGAAATTATAAAGAAAAGCAAGTATTTTATTGTCTCAAAGGTCAGAATAATGATTTTCTCTGTGGAAAGATAGGGCAATGTGATTGGAGAGTGGCACGTGAGCTTCTGGGATGCTGACAATGTTCTATTTTTTGTCTTGAATGGTGATTGCATGGATGTTCACTTGTAAAATATTACTTAAACTATACATATATATTTTATATACTCTTTTTCACGTATGACCTATATCACAATAAAAAGGTTTTTATAAATGGCAGAAACTGCTTTTCTTTACAAGGTGATATTTTCCTCCATCTCTCCAGGCTAGCTAGCTCCAACACAGAAAAAGTACATTTCTCTCTTTAGGACTTTGCTGAACACAGCAAGAGCGAGTTGTCTCACACCAACGTTTTGAGTTTTTCTGCTAACATTTCCCCTGATGCTACAGCCTCAATCAGCAATTGGTCTGCTTTCAAAAGGACAGCAGTTGACAATTTGACCGAATCTGTCACCACCAAACAAGTCACCAGTTTTCCATCCTATGATATTTGTGTCCCCATTCCCCAAAACCCTCCCTTCAACACTAAGTCAGTTCTGTGTACAGTCATCCCTGTATATCCATGGGTTCCATATCTGTGTATTCAAACAACCACAGATCGAAAATATTATTAAAAAATTGTGTTTGGGGGCCGGCCCGGTGGCGCACTGCTACAGTGCGCCGCTTGGGAAGCGCGGTGGCGCTCCCGCCGAGGGTTCGGATCCCACATACAGACTGGTTCCCGCTCACTGGCTGAGCAAGGTGCAGGGGGCAACACCGAGGGTTGCGATCCCGTTGCCGGTCCCGGGCCGGTACGGGCGCGACACTGAGGGTTGCGATCCGTTGCCGGTCATGAAAAAAGACAAAAAGACAAAAAAAAAAAAAATTGGGTTTGGCCAACCCCGTGGTGCACTCGGGAGAGTGCAGCGCTGGGAGCACAGCGACTCTCCCGCCGCGGGTTCGGATCCTATATAGGGATGGCCGGTGCACTCACTGGCTGGGCGCGGTGCAGGCGACACCAAGCCAAGGGTGCGATCCACCTTACCAGTCACAAAAAGGACAAAAAAAAAAAAAAAAAATTGTGTTTGGCCAACCCCGTGGTGCACTCGGGAGAGTGCAGCGCTGGGAGCACAGCGACTCTCCCGCCGCGGGTTCGGATCCTATATAGGGATGGCCGGTGCACTCACTGGCTGAGCGCGGGGCAGGCGACACCAAGCCAAGGGAGCGATCCACCTTACCAGTCACAAAAAGGACAAAAAAAAAAAAAAAAAAATTGTGTTTGTATTGAACATGTATAGACTTTTTTCCTGTCGTTATTCCCTAAACAATACAGTATAGTAGTAACTATATTGTATTAGGTATTATAAGTAATCTAGAGATGATTTAAAGTATACAGGAAGATGTGCATCAGTTATTTACAAATACTATGCCATTTCATATCAGGGACTTGAGAATCTGTGAAAATTTGTATTTGCAAGAGGTCCTGGAACCAATCCCCCACAGATTCCAAGGAATGACTATCTTAGGTCTTGCTTTTTGCAGCACCCTACTTTCTCTAATCAGTTTAGAATTGTACTTCAGCTGTGAGTTACAGAGACCCAAATCAGTGTCTGAAAAAAAAAAATCAGTTCTACAAGTTTTCTCATGAAACATGAAGTTCATCCGTTGACATTGGTTCAGTGGTTCAAGGATAGGTTCAAAGTCTCTGGCTTTCTTGGCCTCTCCCAGTCAACTTATGGTCACAAAATGGGTTTGTTCATGTCCAGCCTTACACATGAGTTCCAGGTAGCAAGAAGTGCAAAGAATAAAAGGGGAACTGCCAGACAAGTCTGTCCCACTATTAAGGAGCTTTCCTAGAAAGCTTTAACGTAACAATTTCTGCTTACATCGCATTGGCCAGGACTGTCACATGGCTTCCCCATGTTAAAAGGGAGCCTAGAAACTTAAAATGTAGTTTTTTAGCAGTGCACATTGCTACCCCAAGCAAAATCAGGTTCTGTTAGTAAATTCTGTTTCACCAATAAAAGATTCCTGTCTAACAACATGAATGGTGACATTTAATGGTGAAATTTTAGAAGCATTCCTTAGGAATAACACAAGAATGCCCTCTATTATTTAACTGGAGATTTTAGCCAAGTCAATAAATAAGATGAATAAAAACTGAAAACAAAAATATCTAAAAATAAAACACTGTCAAGATGGTGTGTTTGTCTACATTTTTTAAAAAATCTACGTTTAATAAAAGAGTTCAACAGGGCTATGTCTACGTGATCAATATCAACAGCATTTCTGTAAAACAGTAATAACCAATTAGGAAATGGAATGAAAATAGTTTCATAACAACAACCTTCAAGATACATAAGAGAGAAAAATCTATCAAAAAATGTGCAAGAATTTGGGAACTACAAAATATTATTGAAGGACAAACAGTACATCTGAGTAAATGAAAAGAGTAACCCTGTTCATAAGTAGGAAAAATGACTATCTTAAAGATAACTGATAGAGTTTGGATGTGCTGACCCCCAAAGCTCATGGAAATCTGATCCCCAATGCGGTAGTGTTGGGAGCTGTTTGAGTCATGGGAGTGGATCTCTCATGAAAGGATTAATGCTCTTCCTGGGGTGTGGGGGTAGTGAGTGAGTTCTCTCTCTGTTAGTTTCCGTGACAGCTGGTTGTTTAGAAGTCTCTGGCACCACCTCTCTCTCTCTCTCTCTTTCTCTCTCTCTCTCTAAATTACTCAGTCTCTGGCATTCTGTTATAGCAACACAAAAATGGACTAAAACAATAACCGTTCTCTCCACATTTTGTAAATTCAATAAAATTTAAAACAAAATGCCTCATGATTTTTCTTGGAAATTAATAAGTAGATTCTATATTTTATATAGAAGAACAAAGGCCCAAGAATGGTAGAAGGTCAGGCCCTTTTAGATATCAAGATTTATTATAAACCTATAGCAATTAATACAATGTATTAATAGAGTGGTACTGGCATAAGGATGGACATGTTGAACAACTCAGTATGGAAAGTATTGATTATTCAATAAATGGTGCTTCATGATTGATTATAGAGAAAAAAACAAATTTGATTCCTACCCTACTGTGTCAGGAGTCCCCAAGACTACCCTCAGA